CACCATCCTCCCGCCCGGCACCCGGAGGGGTCGGGGGTTCGCGTCACTTCCCGGGCAGAGCTGGGATGCGTGAAAGTCGTGATAACCGGAGTGCCCTTTGCCCCTGGGGCTTTCCTGCGGGTCCGGAGGCTGAGCTGAACCTTTCCACCTGCTTTCGGGCAGAGGTGGGCTCTGTGGCAGCTCTGCAGAGGTTTGGGAAGGGGCTTTGGCTGGAGCAGAGGGCTGTGACCGTCACCGATGGCAAGAATAACTTTTTTCCTCTCCCTCTCCCCTTTCCTCCCTGCAGAAGAAGGCCGAGGCTGCCCACCGGATCCTGGAAGGACTGGGTCCACAGGTGGAGCTGGTGAGTGCCACCTCTCGCTGCGGGGAGCGCAAGCCGGGTTTGGCGAGGTCCCTGCGTGTGTTTCGGCCCTCAGAAGGCAGCGTGCTGCTGGCCAGGACCTTGCTGGCAAGGCTGAGCGATGAAATGCAAGGCGGGCAGGCAGGCACACAGCCCTCTTCAAACGGCCTTAACCCTTCGGCTCCTTCCTCGCACGCTGCAGCCCAGCTGGGTGGCGGAAGGGGCTCCGGCACAGCCTGCCTCCGCTCGGGATGCCGATGGCCTTCATCCACTGCTGGCAGCCACAGCGCCGGGGCTGTGGGGTGCTGTGGGGGAGGGATGGGTGCTGGGACGGCTCTCCTCTGTCCGTCTCCCACCGCTGCAGACGGAGGAGGGTGCTCTGCAAGCACAGCCCGGTCGCAGCTGCAGCGAGCTGCAGGGATCGGGACTCACACGCATCCTATCGCTGTCTCCCTGCAAGCTGAGAAAAAGAACTTACGCTAAATGGTCAGTTTGGGGCCGCTCCCTCATGCTGTAAGTGGAGTGGTGCATGGCGGGAGGGCTGGCTGAAAACCACCCCGGAGGGGCTGAGCCCCGGAGCAGGGTGCTGGGCGAAGGCAGGTCTGCAGCGATGCTGCGGGAAGGGTGGGAGGGGGACAGACGTGGTCTGACCGAGCAGCTCCCGCTTTGCGCTGCTGCGGAGTGGGAGCGGGCAGCTCGCCGTCCTCGGCAGCCGCGATTGGGACTTGCCCTGCGGAGGTGGCACTGATCGCTGGCGTCCCCGGGTGCGAGAGGGAGAGGCCACGAGGGAACTGGTGCGCGCTGCTACGCCTCGAAGCCCGCTTCCTCGTTTGGGGAGGCAGCACTCGTTGTTTTCCCTTTGAGTCACCGGGGCAAACCCTTTGCTCTCTTTCTGCTCTGAAGATTGGCGGTGCCCGGGGTTGGCGCTTCCTCCTCCAGAAGATGTTGCATTTCCTTTCCCCCCAACACTTTTTTTTGTGTGTCTTTTTTTCCCTTTTTTTTTCATTTGTTGATGCTTTTCCCTCGGGTGCTGACACTGCACAGGGCAGCCGCAGCAGACCCCCGTGCGGGCCTTCCCCACTCGCCCCG